TACTGGGCAAAATTTGGCGAATAATCAACAAATTTATTAAATCACCACGAACCTAGCGTTTTCCTAAAAAGAAGCTTAGACAAAATGAAAATTGGCAGTGACTCTGATAAAGAAGAGAAGGAAACTACAAAGACGATTGATCTTGATACATTTTGACCCTAAAGTTAAATATAATTTATGTAAAATACGTCTTCATTACTATGAAAAAGAAATGTTTCATTATAGTATATTTAAATGTTTCCTCCTTGAAAGTATCTTTATGAGCCTGTAGAATTCTAAAATATTAATTATTGCACGGGTCTTATGTGACAACCCGTGCTTTTTTCATTTGGTTATTGCACGGGATTGCTACGTCAGACACCAAGTTATTGTATATTGAATAACCCAGTTACACATACGGGTGTCGCTAAAAGAAAACCCGAAAATTTAAATATAAATCATATTTAAATTTTCGGGTTTTCTTTTAGCGACACTTATTTGAAGGCCACAGATATGACCCGTGTGTAACTAGGTTATTCACTACATACCCATACAATAACTATAATTTATTTAAGATGTTTTCATCTCGAGTTTAAAAGAAGTTAATTATCATTCACAGATTGATATATATTTTAGTGACTTACCAATCAAAAGTTTACGACCTTACAAATTTTAGGGTTAGACAATCTTTATTAATCTTATGATTGTTTAAAAGTTGTTGCTAGATAAGCATTCACTTAAACCAGTGTTGTCACGTCTACTATGTCCAAGACTTTTTCTGCCCATGTTCACGTCCAAAATGTCCACAGTGTCCAAAGAATATTTAGACTTTAAAATTTAATAAATTAGCTTAAAAAAGATATGATTATATATTTTTATATAGTTCTGAATATTTTTGCTTACAAGATTAAAATAGGTTATCAATAAAATTTTGAGTAATTTAGATTTGTTTTTTTATTCAAAATTGTCCACAATTGTCCATAATTTGTTCAAAGCTGCCCCGTGCCAACACTGACTTGGCGATTAAATAGCTCAGTTTAATCGGTTTGGTCGGTATGATGTTTGTTTACTTGAATTTATTAAGTAATTCCGGGTCGTAATTGGCCGGAATTGGTAAATTTTTCTAAAATCATCCAAAATTTTATGAACAAAGTGATAATAGTTGGCTGGTAGTATTGCTTAGGCCATTTGAAGTGGAATTTTCGTTTAACGCTATCCCCCTTCATCACTCCTAAAATTAAAATAAAAATGACAAGTTGATCAATTTTTTTTTTGGTGAAATTTTTATGATGGTAATGCTAGGATAGTTGGGTAAGGGAGGAAACTCTTTGTCTGTTTGATTTAATTCATTTTTTTTACGATCGTTTTGAGAGTTCTGTTAAAGCTCTGTTGATATTTAATTCATTTTCTTTACGATTGTTTTGTTAATAATAAAGCAACTTAGAGTTTATTAATCAGATGCTGATTTTTGGCCAATCAAATTCAAGATCAAGTAGATGTTTATGCATAAATTTAAACGCGTACAGACAGACAAGTCGAATAAATTTATGTAAATGTGTCAAAAAAATTAAATCGTTAAAATTTTTGTATAGTTTGACATTTAGTACAGGACACCATATCCATTTTTCATTTTTATTAATAAAATCTATAATAAAATATATATATATATTAGCCAATTAAAATTTAAAAAATTCAATCAAAAGTTTATATATTTCATTTCAACTTAAACAACATCTACACTACAATGAGTCAATATCATTACAGTACATAGATAACAAAGTAACTATAGTAATTAATTATATAGAATAATTGGAGGATGTGCCCATATAGTACGTGTACGTACTAAACAGATTGTAATAACTATTTAAACGAGGGTTGTGACTTGTAATCCTTAAATTCTCATTTTTATTTTATTCGTTTATTATCTGATCATTTATCTGTCCAAACCTGTATTTGTGTATATAACGGAATTGTCCCTAAATTATTGTTATATACGTCGATTTATGTCATACGTACAGTACAAACAATCATTGTCTTTTTTAAAAAAATTGTTGGAGGCGCATACGGAGTTCTAAACGATAATGATTGCCTACAATACTTTCCATCGTTACTAATAAAGATTTCAATGGTTGATAATTTTGCCGAAGCGATGAGGAATGTACCAAAACAGGAACTAATGGCTGAAATTATTGTATAAATGGAAATTGTAAGGCTTGCCTTTATCATTCACGGCTGTTAATATTGTCAAACTAATGATGACTGACAAAATAGCATCGATTGTTCCTAATTGCGTTTACGACAAATTCAAAAATATATCTAGGATGTAGCACAAAGAGCTGTTCCTCCAAAGCGCCTTTCTGCCATAATAATCTTTGTCGCAAGAATGAAGACTACGTTTGTAAGGCTAAACTTTATTGCCCTGGCTATCGCTATTGTGGTCCAGAAGGATACTGTAAAACGTGTCCTTTACAAGATGGTTGCCTTCCCAACAATGATCCACTAGTTCTATGACAATTTTTTAGTTTAATTAGCGTAAGTGATCATGTTATTTTATTAAACTATTTAAAGTTACTATACAACTAAATTCATTTGCTCAATTGACTTAGCTGAAAAACGTATAACTAAAGGTACAGTATTTATACGAATACCACTCGAATAGTCAAGATGTGATCTAGCAAATATTGAGAAATACAGTGGTATAGCAGTAGTCAAAGGTACAAAACTCCGGTCTTAACTTTAAACTTTCAAATATTATATTGATTTTTTAAGACTAATATTTGAATTAGCCTCTTAGTAACCGGAAAACTATGGGCACAACATTCAACATAACTGATGGAACATTGACCAGAATTAGAGTTAGAGTTAACGTTGTTTTAGTAATGCCGGTCATTGTTGTACCCATAAGCAGTAAATTGGATTCGCGCAGTAGGCGCAGCGTACATAGATTTAAATTTGCGCATATATCAGCGCTCTTCATATATATAATGCGCGTATAAATTTCTTTTTTGTGCATATTTTTTTTGCCATTAGTAACTAGAAATCTGCTGATTCTGTTCCTCCCCTTATAATAACCATTGTATATTAAAGCAACGTTTTAAATTTAAACCCAGTGTCAAAGCTTCTTTTTAGGAAAACGCTAGGTTCGTGGTGATTTAATAAATTTGTTGATTATTCGCCAAATTTTGCCCAGTATTATGTACATATCGGCTAAATCGACCAACTTTATGTTAATGCGGGTTAACTTTGTCGGAATTATGTTCCTTCGGAAAAATAGCCTCAGTATTTTGTATCAAAGTTATGAAATTACCCATCTTTACATTAGAGCGGTGAGAAAAATTTAATCTTAATCGTGTTTTATTAAGATAATTCATGCAATAATATACTAAAGAACTATAGCAACTACAATAGATTCATTAACTCCACCTTTAGCATCTTTATACTTATCATAAACGTCCTTCACGAATGCATCTTATGGTAATTTAGAGATTTTCTGAATTATCAATATTGTTTACAAAAAAAAAAAAATTCGTGCAAAGTTCTATTTTTCTTAAGTTTCGCTTTTCAGATTAGATAATTTAGATTGTCTCAGTTCTACAAGCCATTTTTCGTAAATTTCAATGTTGATGCTTTCAATGAATGCAAATGCTTTTTCACGACATTCTTGACCAATCTTCTCATAAGCGTCACGGTTATTAATCAAGTATCTTAGAGATTGAATCCATGGCTCAATATTTTGAGGTGGAATTTTATATACACCCGTTTTTTCAATAATACTTTCGTCACTTTCACGTTCACCACAAGTTATGTTTACGTGTATTGTGCCAAAGCTGACACCACATTTAGCTTCAGGTAGACCTCCTGCGTCAGAACAAATCGCGGGTATGCCGCGTAACATTGCTTCCACGACCACTATTCCAAAAGCTTCATACCTAATGAGCACTATATATTAGTATCAGTGTTATAATTTACATATGATCAATTTTTTTACACTTACCAAAGGGATGGTGCAATAAGGACCTTGGTTTTAGGCCATAGTTCCTCCATGTCTCTGAATGTCTCCAAAACTCTTAAATTAAAAAATATATCATTTATATATTTTTATATTAAGTATCCTCCTAATCACAACAACACCCATACTTACATGATGTTTTCAGTATTTTCCATTTCTTTTAGTTGATATTCACTAACGCCCCAATTTTTAACTGCGGCGAACTGAATGTCTGGCATTTTTTCCGTCAACTCTTTGAAAATAGCATAACCTTTTATGCTAGCAGGATTAGGGATTAAAACGTAAGGCGCATCAAAATTGTGATACCTCTTAAAAGGTGGTTCACCAAAAGTTGCTGGATGTAAAGGAAGGTAAGTAGCAAGAACTCCTTCTCCATAGATTTCGATATAATTTTTAATCGCACGACTAACCGCCCATACACCTTCAATCTTTTTTAACCTCTTATGTTCAATCAGGGACGTTGGGCTATCGAATCCTGGTGCGCCACTATATGGACCGAATGGAAGATGCTCACACGCATGGCAGATGAATATGCGGGCTATTGTTCCTGATAAATTCGATGCGATCTTGAGTGAAATTGAATCATTGAAAACGAAGTGAGTCGCACCAAATAACATGATTTCATCTGTTATAAAATGTTGGTATGCGTCATATTCGGGTAAAAATTCCTTATCCTAATATTATTATGCCATACGTATTATGCCACAAATGTTAATTAAATGTAGATTGTGAAACTAGAATGAAGTAACGTATGTGGTTGTATTTTTTACCTCTAACCAACGCGTTATTCGTTCTTCGACATCTTTGAGTGGATGAAAAAGTGTGCTTTTCGGGAATATCTTGAGATATTCTTCTACCTCAAGACCCACGATTTCGACATTATTCCAAATGAATCGATAAATAGTAATATGATTATTTTTATCTCCAAATGAACATTTTTCTTCACTATACTCGACTTTCGCGTCGAGCACGTCTTTCTTCCAGCAAAGCACTACAGATCGACATGCATGACCCTGTGACGATAGAGCGGCCAAAAAACAAAGGTTTGCTTTATAACCACCGGATGCACTATAAAGACCCATCGCCGTTTGGATGAGAAAAATTTTTAATTTAGTAGTAGGGATTGATATTTCTTTTGAGGTTTGTGTTTTAAAGAGCTGTGGAAATGAAGGTGAATGCATATTTTCATAGTTATTTTCTTTTTCGATTGTTTTGAAAAAAAGTAGTAAAAATCTATGTGCAATCATCTGTTCTTATAAATACCAGAATTCTTTCTTACATAGTAATCCTTATAATTACAATGACATAATTCTGATATATAAAACATATATAATTTATTTTCCGTTTAATAAAGCCTATTCTTACATTGGTATTTAATTGTTATAATTACATCATTTATCTGTGATTTATCATTATTAAACAGTCAGTTAAAATCTTAACGAGTGTTGAAATATGTACATTTCCCAAGAACCTTTTACTAAAACGCACCTATGGTAGTTTACACCTATGAGTACATTATCACAAAAACTAGTTGATTAATCGGTGCGGGATGTTCTTCTATGCACCCAAAACCCTTCCAAAACCCTAATTCTAACCCTAAATACTAACTCACTAATGTGAAAATTTTTATTAAAAACTTTTGTATACAAAGCTTACAAACATTTAGAAAAATCTAAAAAAAATAATAAAAAACATATAATAGGTGCCAAATCACTATGGGTGCATTTTATAATAAATCTTTTCTAGCACGTATAATTAATCATACTGTTACAATACATTATTTTTTTAGTTATATGTGCGTCGTTTTTTCAATCAACCTTTTTTTTTTAAATGATTAAAATTATAAAGTTTGACTGTACATAAATCAAAGTTACCACCCTATTAAATTCTGAATGATCTCTTACTCCGAAACGGTCGTTCGGCAGTTGGCCGATTCAGTCCATAATTGACCAGAACAAAACCCGAGTTTTTACTAACTAGAATTTTGGTCAGAATTTTATCAAATCTAATGCTAACGTTAAAGAAAAACCATTAATATAGCATCTTATAATTTCTATGAAACTTATTCCCACCAAGAAATTTAGACACATGCATGAACGAATAGTATTTGTTTCAAGGCTATTTATTTTAATATCAATTAAGTCACCTTCATCAAAAAAATCCGTTCTACTGAAACATTAATTGCATGATGATCCCTATCATTGAATAAGCTTGAACCCGAACCGTGTATGTTAAGCTCGGGGTTTTTTGACCGTTTAGAAACACTACTTATTGTACTAATTAACTTTTAATATTATATATTTCAATAACTATCATGCATGATATTCCAAGACTTATTAAAACGCGCTTATTGTGTTTAAACCTATGTTTTACATCTATGTGTATTGCAGTCTGACGATTTGTCAAATTTGGATATTGTTTTACAAGAAGTTCTCATGCAATAATTGGCTTAAAATCATACTTTTTGGTTAAAGTTTTTTTTAACAATTTATATTTTTTGGTTATAATTTATATTATATATATATAAAATGAAGAACTTGTAATTTTATGATTTATAATTTTTATAATTTTTTTTACAAATAGATAAAAAAAATTTAAGACTTTAATGATTTATTTATCTTTGTTTTTTTTTATTTTTTAGCTCAATATGTAATATTATATGTTTATAGTCAAATTTTTTTATAATCACACCCTTAGTTTAAGAATTTGGTGTTTATAAAAAGTTTGTGCTTATATAAAGGTTAAGTTTTATGGTTTTAAAAATTTATACAATTATAAGCAAATATAACTATAAAGATAACTATAAAAAGGTTTGACTATATTTATATTTATATTTATAGTTATTGTATATTATTGTATATAATCTTTTAATTTGCAAAACAGAACTTAATACCTCTAGATTTTGAAGCTAAATTATTTTTTTATTTAAAATCTATTTTTATTTATTTTTGGCTATTTTATTTATAAACTCTTGCTACTAGCTTGAATTAATTTTGTAAGTTAGATTATATTTTTTTATTTTTATAATAATTGTTTATAGTTAATATTTTTTTATTAACTATTTTTTAAAATAGTTTTTATTTGTTTAAAATCTTTTACAATTTTATTAATAGTTATTTTTATTAAAATTTATAATTATTTTATTAATTTTAATATTTTGATATATAATTTGTTTTAGTATTTATTAATAGAAATTAAATCTAAATAAAACTTACTTAGATAATCCATATAAGTATTCTTAAATTAAAATTATATTATCTTTTTTTTATTTTAGACAATTCTGCTTTTATTATTTCTTAGAAGTACCAAAAAATCATATTTCTTGACTGGTGATACTGACATATACTATATTTTATTTTAATAAAAACTCACTTGACTAAAAGGTCTAGGTGTGATCTGTCAAAGTAGCTATTTATTTTGCTTTATATTGGATCCTCAACTTTTTAAAGATTTGATCTCTCTGATCTTTAGCTAGGGCTAGTATCTCTTATTAAGCAGCAAAAACAAAAAGAAATACTAAAAGAAAAACAAAATAGAAATATAGATCTATGATAAAAAAAATACAAACAAGAAGTAAGGAAGTAGTAAGAAAAAACTAAAAAAGAAAATTGTATAATCTAATATTACAATTATAAGTCTATAAAAGGCTTGTAAAAATTACATACTACTAAATAAACTAGTCTCTACTCTAAATTTATCTACTTAGTATATCCAAGTAAAAACCTGTAAGAAAACTTTATAGCTAGATTTATAAAGAGGTCAGAATATCTCAAAGCATTATTTGTATAAATATTCTGTATTTAAAATATATGTATATCACTGCATGTATTTGTTATCATCTATCTGATTTGGAAAATAAACAATATTAACTATTTTGGTTTATGTAATATTGATCTTTTAAAAGGAGTAAGCTAAAACACCTACTTTTTACAAAAATTTCTTCAAAAAAAAAGTGGTGAGCCAATAGAAGAGTATGAGTTTCTTCAGTAAATTTTATAGTTATATATATATTTTCATAAACTTTTACTATCTTAGAAGATTTATTCTCAAAATAAACTTTCTGGTTTGGATGCTAAATATTTTGAGAAGTTTACCGAAAACAGAAAGCTTGACCCAAGAAAAACTACTTTAGTTATACCTACTCTTCAGTATTTTATATCTTTTAGGTTTTGTTGACAACAATCTATTTTGAATAAACTTGTTTCTAGAATAACCCTTTTGGTTTGGATGCCAAATATCCCAGGGAGTTTGTTGAAAAAATACATCCAAAAAAACTATTTATTTAATATTCACTTCTCAGTATTTTATATTTTCTAGACTTTGTTAACAATAGTTTACTCAAGTTAAAACTAAGAATAGTATCTGTCTTGAAAGTTTCTATATTATTTTTCTGTAGTTTGGTTTTAATTATTGTTGATCAGAAGATTGTCAAAAAGAGTTTAATTAGTTAACTGTTATTAAAGTTATATTATCTAAATAAACAAATATATATTATATAATAGCTATATAAATATTATTAAATAAATATCACAAGAAAAATTTTATATTTTTAATTTAATTCTAATATAATGTTTATTATTATTTATTTTTTTTAGCAATTTTTTCTTTATTATTTAAATTAATATAGGTATACTAATAAAAGCTAAACTATAAGAATAAGTTTGTATTAATAAAAAATCATTTAGTTATTAAAACAAAAATCTAAAAAAGATTCTACAAAGAAAACCCAGATATAATCTGCCTAAGTAGCTTATTTTTTTTGTTTAGAATTCTTAATTTACTAAGAATTTAAATTTCTGAAATCTATAATAGCTAGTTACTAACCTTGTTAAAATCACTATTCTATATAAAATATTACTAATTTAAAAAATATTCTCTAGCAAAAAAAATTACAAAGAGCAAAATAGTCTAAACAAATCTTTTGTAAACTATTTTATATCCTATTCAGAAATTCAGTCTATATATTTGAAATAATGTCTATAGGTATACTCAAAATAGTACACAGATAATCAAAATAGCATACAGATATTTGCTATTTTAAGATTTTACTATACTTAAGATTTATTTACAAATCTTCTATTTAAACTCTTTAATCTTAAATTTTTTATATTAATCTGATTTAATTTATCTAAAATTTAAGTTATTTCATATCTTTAGATTATTAAATACTATCTATAAGACAACTATTTTTAATATATTTTCAAGTACAAACTGGGATTAAATTATTATTTAAAAAGTTTTATAATCAAGATCAAGTATAATATTATATGATCAGAAAAATTCAAAACAAATAATCATTTTGTTAAAAATTGCTTATAATCCAAAATTTAGTTTATAAAACTGCTTTCTGTATATTAATTAAAAGGTTTTTCTTGTAAAATTTTGCTATAAAAAGTGTTTTTAGATATTGATCTAATAGTAAAACTCCAACTCTAATTTAAAAACAAAATTTTACTTGAAATTTTTTAGGTGGTGATTTTATCCTAGTTTCAAGTATATTATCTGCTAGAGTCTATAAATATCTACTAGAGAGTATCTATAAATTATATATTATATACCCTATATAGAATTTCTTGACTCCTTTTAAATTATATAAAAAAAATTTAAAATTTATAAGTTTATATATAAAATTTTACAAAAACTTTAATATCTTGTAATTTAGTAATTCAAATTAAATAAATTTGGTACTATTAGATTTCTTTTATTAAGAGAAATCTAATAATATTAAATTTATCTAAATTGAATTACTAGATCATAAGATATTAGTAAAAAACTATTAATTATATAGTAATTTTATATAACTAATAGTATTTTGCTAATATTTTATGATCCAGTAATAACAGTAATTTAAATTAAATAAATTTAGTATCATTAGATTTTTCTTGATAAGAAAAATCTAATAGTATCAAATTTATCTAATTTGAATTATTGGATCACAAGATATTAATATTTTATAAAAATTATATTATTTTTTAACCTTTTTACTTGATTAAAAAAATAAAAAAACCTGTTAGTTTTGTACAACTTCTATCTCTTGTATAATATTATTTGCAGATGCCCCCTATTGCTATATGATCTAGTCTTTTTAGTAACTTATACTAAGTTCAAAGACAAATGTTTAAACTTTTGACTTTTATTATTATTATCTATTTTGTATCTTTGCAGAGTTTATTTAAATCTT